GGAAGAAGATATGCTACTGTTGTGTCTTAGCAGTGATAATGGGTGGCCTCTTGCATAAAAGTTAATGATGAGTTTGATGGAGGATATGAATCCAGATGTAGGAATAGAGCATTCTTTTCTATCAGCAGCCGCACTGGGGAAGCTCCGCTGCCTCCACTGAGCTTTTAAACTTATCATAAATGTATTAAGATTGCACCGGGCCATGGAACAGCTGTAGACAATTAATCTTGGGCAAATCTTATTCGAGGAATTGGTTTCTGCAAAGTAACATCTGCTGCAAAAGGCTATTATTCATATGCGCTTTTCTGCATAGCCACAATCATTGGCAATGAAGTCAAAATTTATAGTTTTCCCTGCTCAGTAAAAATAACATTCAGTAGCATTAAAACATCATCCATCAACATTGTCGTGGGGCTTGGGGCCATCCCAGGCTCAGAAATTAAAAGTATTCATTTTGCCTACAAGTTGTAAAGCTGTGCTGCTCCAATGAACTGGGTTTTTTCCACTGCATAGCTGCTGAGAATGAGATTGGAGCGCTTTGCTGTAGCGTTGGCTGTGGTTGGGAGAAGAGGAGAGATGAACCTCTTTCTCTGGAGGTGCTGATCAGAAAAACACCATGATGGATGACATTCTGCATAGAATTGCCAAAAATGAACTTGGAATAAAATCAATCAATGAAATTTGATTTGGAAATCACTGTAATAAGGCTGAAGCGTTTGGAAGAACAAAATACAAAATGTGACAGATCTGCAACAACAGCACAGCTATTCATGTCAGACAAATAACATTTTGGTTTTATTTATTATTATTATTATTATTATTTTCAAATGCAAGGAACACAATTTAAGAGAAAACAAAACAATATAAAAGCTGAAAAAATGTGCCCATTATATGTAAAATATGGAATTATTAAACAATATAAGTTCAAAGATTTTTTTCAGTACTTTTACATGTACTTCTGTGTTCTTTTGTGAAACTTTCCAGAAAGAGTCACAGTTAACCAAACTGTGGCAGTGGTTAAACAAAAGTGCTGGTATTAATGGTGTGAGAGAAGATCGACAGGCGTCTGCTCTGTTCTCACAGATGGCTGCATTATTTAGAATAGACACATGGAGCCAAGCCAGATGCAATCTTAACAGGATTTTGATAGCCTGTAACTTTGGCTATAGAGTATTGAGGAAAAGAAAGTATTTAGAAAACTATGTTTTAGACACCACTTCAACAACAGGAAGACAGAAAGTTTATATAGAGTTTATGTTCAGGTGATTATTTAATTTTATTTTTTTTCTTAAATAAAGCTTTCTAGAGTCTTTGATGCAGGAGGTCAGGGGTTTGATTCCCCCTGGGGATGCCAATACTCCACAGCAACAGTGTGCTCGCCCCAGAACAGATAATGAAAAAGGAAAGGCCAATGTTAAAATCAACCTTATGTACCCATGCTGACAAATAAAGAAGCAGTCATTAAAATCTACAACTACTGCTGTTATCAGCTATAACAAATCACATTATACATTGCTATATCCAATTAATATTGACTGTAAAAAAAAGAAAACAATAAAATAAATAATTAATACATGTAAAAAAAAAAAAAAAAATTTTACTTACTGTTAAGAAGCTCTAGAAAATAAGTAAGGGAGAGGACACGCACATCCAAGTGTGAAGGATGAAAGCAAGCAATTCAAAATCTGAAAAAAGAAGTAGGTCCGAAACGTTGGTGAGAGAATTACATTGTTTGGAGCATATGAACTGTGCAGACCCATTTCTTTTTTCAAATTAAGAGCTGGAAAATATTAACATTTTTAAGTATCACAAGTCATTTTCATTTTCTGTTATTTTAATAATTTGACATAAGGTAAAGGCTATTTTAATTCTATTTTAAGGACTATACATATGTATTTGACAAAGTACTATCAGAACAATATAGGTCAGAGTCAACATTACAGCTGTGTGCCGCGATGATAAACCTTCACATGTATTGTTGGACGTGACATGCTCAATTTGTCATTAGTTGTGAGGGGAGAACGGATGAGTACACTTTCAATTTAGTTCCGCCGCTTCCTCCATTCATCATGGCTCTCTCAACATCGATCATTTCCCCAGCTCAGATTCAAACAAAACACACTCTCATAAGTTTAATGCAATTAATCTTCCAGGCGGGATAATTTTATATTAATGAACCGAGACATTGATTTGATTATTCCTTTGATGAACTTGTATTGGGGGCTGCCTCTCTATTGGTGATGACAGCATATGTGTTGCCTACTAAGCATGACTGTGAGCAGATCTGAATTTGTGTTTCTTTCTTTTTCAAACATTTCCAGGCTTCATACAACAAGCCCCAGAGAAATTGAAAAAGTTACAGCCATAGATAGGAGGTGACCTGGAAACAAAAGCAATCAAGGTTGGAGGAAGATTCGTACCACCACAACGGCATCAAGGTGAAAGCCAGCTACTGTGTCAATAAAGCAAGAAATATCATTTGAGGCACACAGCTCGGAGCAAAAGGTAGTCTGCAATTTCACACCTTCATGTACCCCATCTAAGGACATTTTTCATCTCACTCCACTATTGCAATGAATTCTTTGAGCATTTGGACTTATTGTACTGGATGGCAAAAATTATTTCCATTTTTAGAAAAGCCAAGTGTTTGGACAGGGAGGTCAGCACTGCTCCTCTGTCCTTCCAATTATTACACAACTTCATAATTATTTTCTAAACTAAATAAACTGGAATTTAACCACAAATCAATCAGTGCTCCACTTGAGGAACTTCAGACTCAATTGTAGCTCAATCAAAGCCGTGAAAAAAATCAATTGCGTCCAATTATAGCCTGTTTCATTAGAGTATGCAAATGAGTGGGATTCTGCAGAAGGCCCGGTCTCAGATTTCCCCCTTCTGGCCACAGGCTCTTGGTGGAGAACAACACACACACCAAAGGATTATCTCAGAAAAATAGAACCAATCAAGTTATCTTCCTGTTATCCCATTTATTTTTTGCATTGTCCAATTGGAAATAAGAAATGTTTACATAGATAAATGATTTGTTATTTCAAAAGCAATAAATTACAAACAATCATTTTCTCTCAGAAATGTAATCCTTTATTTAACACATCGCATAAAGATATGATTTGGGTTTGTTTTATTATAATTTGACTTACAGAAACATGAATACAAACCAAGTAAATAATGCCAGTTATTATTTTAATTATTATTTTGGTGTATAAACAGCAATCTATTTAATCATGTTAATTTTCAAAATAGAACAAAATTCCTATATATTGTAGAGTCACATACAACACATTAAATCAGACAACTTTAGACCTAAGAATAACATAAATGCTCCAATGAATGTCTGTGACAGAGTATAGACAGTGGGATTCAGCCAGTGCCACAGCTCTCTCTGAGTATTGATTTTCTGTTGGAGCTGCATTGTATCTCCTCAGCATCACATGCATTACAGCAGTGGTCCAAATAGATGTCTGAACAATGTATTTTAGAGACATTACCCTCCAACTAATGGCAAGTCTGCGAAAAAGCCCCGGTCATTTACCCTTGTGAGTGGTCAAACCGCTCAGTTCCCAGCAGAGCCACGATTTCTAATGATGTCCTCTGTATAAGACTACATTCTCCTCAAAGAATGATTTAATTTGGAAACATATTCATATTAACTTTGCCTTTACCTGCATTGCATTTTGTATAGATCATTTTGTGGTAAAAGTAAAGTGAACAAATCAAATCAACATATTAAGATATAGTGCAGGGAGTTGTAGTGAGTGTACAAGCATCTAGACCAGGCCGGGGTCACTCCAATGCCTTTTATGATGTTCCTTTGAAATCTATCCGAATCACATTAAATTGGATATAAAGATGTGCAGACACATACATCACGGTAAATGGTGTGGCCCAGCATCTCTCGCCAAGAATCCCACCTCAACAATTGAGTTATAGAATCGGCTTTAGATCCTATTAATAATTGACAATCTTGTTAGGGGAGAACAAACATTTCTGTTCAAGCAATTTAACTTGGAGGATTGTTATAATAGCGGGTAGCCTGAAGCCGTGTGCAAGATGGTTTCATCGTGAGAGACAGAAAGCCTGTGAAATATAAGCCTGTTGTGTGTGGAAGAATAACTCAATGCTATTTCACACTGTCTGCTTTCTTTATTATGGACCGTCACAGTAAACATGTTGCAGCCCCATACTCCACTGTGCACGGCTTTAAGTGAGGACCCTGTTTTATCCACATACGCTTTCTCTCTGCCTCCTATTAAAAAGGACAAGCAAGGGATTTTTGTATACAAGGACAAACAGTGCCTTTCAATAGCTACTATTATGAGGGGTTACACCATATTTTTATTTTTATTTTTTTGCAAAATATAATTATTCAATTAATAAAATAGATAAGAGAACAGCTTTATAAGGGTCATGAGTATAAAACAAAAAACAAAATAACTCAATCAGCACTTCACATGTTGGCTGTACATAAATGTAATGAAGATACCAAGCACGATTTTTAACATCATAGCACATACAATATACTCACCACAGGATCTACATATTAGTTATGTTTTGGTTAATTACATTCACATTATGACCACAAAGTTTGTATTTCACAATAATAATAGCAGTATATTATATGGCTTCTGTACAGTATACACAGATATTTAAAATTAAGGGGAAATAATGGCAGCACATTATTTCACATATTTAGTGAATGAGTAAAAGCATTGAAGGGTCGAGGGACATCAACGCGCAAAGCGAAGTGATGATCTATTTAAATGTGTAAAAATACTGCCTCCCAGTGGTATATTTTAAGTAGTACAATTGTTTATGTTTTATTTATAAACATGAAAATGTAAAACAAGAAAGTACAATAGCTAATAATAATAGTAATAATAATAGTAGTAGTAGTAGTATATAGTATTTCATTTCCTTATTAATGGCCAGACAATGCTCTAAGATATTATACACTGAATTAATGGCAGAAAGGGTTCTCAAAGTGCAGCAATAGACCAAAATTATTTATTGATTTATTGATTCACACTTGGCACCAGAGGTCTATCTAACAACCACCAACCATTCACTCACACAGTGTGGATAAAGTGTTCTGCCCAAGGACACAACAGGGTGAACTGGTAGGACAGAGCAAGACGCAGTCACCCACTACACTTAATTTTACAGAATGTGATATGTTGTGAAGCGTCCATCACAGTTAAAAGTTAAATATTCAACAGAACATTTGATGACATTCACATAAAGGCACTCCAGGTGATTCATTTGGTAGTCAATAAAAACAAATAAAAACAGGATAACACATTTGATCTTTATGAATGGATATCATCACACAAGCTTATGTTGTTTTGTCCCACGATAATACTGCTGTACATCTTCTGCTGCTCCTCTTTAAAACAGTCCTTCACCTTCCCTCTTTTCAGCCCACCATCCCTGTCAGAGGAATATGCTCAAGTTTACTTAAGATTAAAACAACTTTTTCTTGGAGATTCACTTCAGTTCCTCACCAGGCAAGGTCAAGCAGTCCTCCTTGACTGGCTATGGCAGACTTCACTCTGTTAGCAAAATTAGCAGCATCTTCTTTGTCCTGGTCAAAACACAACACAGTCTGAGTGAATTAGACTTAGACAAACTTTATTGATCCACAAGGTATGATGTATGAGGTATAGAAATGTGCACAAATAAGTGTCTATGTACTTCTTTCTAATCTCCTTACAGTTCTCCCTTCTGTTTTTACCTCTATAGTCATTGGAGGGAGGTACCAGACATTGACCACTATTGCCCAACTTGTCATAGTCCGGAGAAGATAGCTGAGCATGTTGTACTTGCTACTATTCCAAAAAGCATCACCAAAACGAGGATCATACTATGATAAAAAAGCGAAGTTTACTATAGAATTAAACAGTATTTTAAATTACAAAGTAACTGATCTTTTCTGGCTTTTTACCTTGATTGCAACTGGATATATTGTTCCTCCAATTTCAAAACTTCCTTTTTTAAACATCATGACTGAAGTATTATTGATGCATGTTCCTTTAAAATCAAAAATACAATGATTACCATAACATTGTCAACACACTGAACAAGCTGAACAATTTCAAACCAACCTTCAGGAAATATTAGAATGGGAAGTTTAGTCTTTGCTGCAACATGTGCTTTTAACCTGTGACAAGAGACATCTTCAATTGTCATGTTTAAAATACAAAAACATCCATCTCACATTTCACAAGGAACTGATTATATATTTCGTTTAGTTGTTTTGAACTGACTGCATTGTCTCACCTACTGGTCACTGCGTGTCGGTCCTTCATTTCAGACCTCTCAAACCAAACATGGGGGCAGGACCTCACCATGGCCTTCTGTATGATCCCCATCAGCCCGCCGTGAATCTGGCCCACCTGCACATGAGCCAAAAAGCAACACTGTCACATCATGACTGCAGATGCTATGACTGGATATTTGTGATCTAACTCACCATAGCATAGCAACGGTCATTGGCCAGAATGACAATGTCAATAGGTGTAGTGTGATTTGCAACACATATGCCTCCTCTTTGTGGCTTGTTCTGTCTGTTGAAATATATGTAAAGTGTAAAACTAAATAAAGCACTTCATTGTGAAGAAATATTATGGATAAAACTGACTTGTTGTGATAACGGATTGTGGCTGACAATGCCCTGGCACAAATCCTGTAACATGTCAGATGGACTAGTTCACTCAGCCAACCCCTCAGACTGCAAAAGGGTTAAAATAAGGGTAATACAATGTCATATATTTTAAAAAGAGCTGATGTTAAATGTTGAATACCTGGAATCTGGCAATAATCCAATTATAGTTAAACCAGCAACAAGCCACGACAGACCAATGAGTGCCAGAGTTAGTCTAAAGAAAAGAGCATATATAACTCCCTACTTCTCTATGGTACAAAGAAGCACATTACAGAGAGACGGACCTGAGGGGGAACAGTATGCAGTAACGTACAAAGACCCCCAGCCCCCAGATGATGGTGAGGCGCAGGCTGATGTAATGAAAGTTCAGGTTGGTGCGTGTGAGCAAGTTCCAGGACGCCAGCTCCTCTGAAGAGAATCTCTGGGTCACTTCATCATCCACAATGCTCTCCAGTCCTTTCTTAAAGAAGTAAAGGACATCACTTAAGGCAAATTCACCTCCCTCTATGGCACGAGAGCGGCGCAGCTCACATAACTCCTGCTCCATAGAGCCACCTTCTCGTTTAATGATACCTGAAATACAAAAATAAGCAACTAAGAGGTGTATCTGGCAGTGCACTCAGTCTAACTGTATTGGAGCTCAGCAGGTTTATGGTCAATAAACATTCTCCTTATCCTTTTGATCTCATCCCTCTCATACAGTTTGTATGAGCATAACTATATTATAACAAAGAATGGAGGGGATCCCCAAAGCTCTTCAGACAGTGTGGTCCTCAACCATGTTACTTAATTTAATACCTATAAAATAAAAATTGAATAAGGATATGACATCACAAACATAATAATAATGATTAAAATAATTATACAGGCATAGACCTTCAGTCCATAAACAGCATTGAGAAATTATTTTGAATGTTTTACAAGACCTGTTGTTGTTGAGGTCAGATCACAAGGACCTTGATCTCATGAGGTTAAAGCATGTGTTATACACACTACATTTTTGGGCTGACCACACATGCTGGCTGTTTGGTCAATATTATGCAACAATCAGTTACATCATCATTCTGAGACAGAGAGTGTTTTGGGAGTGCTCCATGGCATCTCAGCACTGAAGCGAGCCAATAGAAAAGCCCCACACTCCCACACTGTCACATGATCCTGTCCAGGGCTAAGACAAATCCTCTATACAGCAGAACACAATGTTCAGCCACCAAAACACAGATCTGGTCTTGGCTCTTTCTAGAGTTCCTTGTCAGTCCCACTCAGTCACCAGTCCAATTACCAAATACTAAATGAGGATTTTCAGAAAATTGTTCAGGTTGGTCTACAAATAAAATGTTGTGAACTAACTGTGCACACTGCATCTACTACTTACCATTGGGTAGAGGAATAGGCACGTTGGGTTGCTCCAGACGTCCTCTTTGTATACGAATAGTGGCCCACTGCATTTAAAGAGACATGAGTATTGTTTTGTAATTCAGAGTTTAGTAAATTAGTAATTTTGTTTACCTCTAGGATTTTTACTAAAATCTGTATGTAGACCCCAGTTACCCCCAAAGACAGTCCAAACATGGCAGGAAGCATGATCAAGAACACCACCACAAACATCCACAGCTGTAGAAATCCTACAGCCAGACTCCACAGGTACTCCATCACTGCGGCTCGGGTTCCTCTGTATGTTACTGGGTCAGGTCATCCCTTGTCTTAATGAAACAGGGAAACCGCAAAAATGTCGTAGGTCTCGGAACAGGCATAGCTATTGGCTGATACCGTTAGTCGAGGGAGACTTCTTTAGATAGAAACAAGATCAAGGCTAAAACAATACATTTGGATAAAATGTTACACTGTCTAATGAAGAGTACCTGACATGACTGTTACTATCCACAGAAAAAAGATAGTTGTTTCCGCTCCAGGTCCTAAGCTAAAATCCTTGGTGAGCTCCACGCGTACGAGCTGCAGCAGCTGCGCGCGGGGCTGACGCACTCACATCTGGACCAATAAACAAACATGGCGGCGGCGGGAGCAGAATCAACTGTCCGTATGCCGGGGATAGTTTTGTCTTCACTGATGTTTGACCATCTTAACACCAATTCTGATGTGGTAAAACATACGAACGACAGAAGAAAACTTACTTTGCTGTTTTATTTCCTATACGGTTCGTAGAGAGGAAAGCGTGAAGTTAGTGCTAATATAGCTAGCATCAAGTTAGTTTGTAACGTTAGCAAACAAGTAACTACACTTGTCTAAAAACGTTTATCTGTAACAAGACAGTAAAGTGTATTCTACTGCTATTTTTTCTTTCTGAAGGAAGGTCTTATTCTTGGGGAAAGCCTTTTTGAGGAGCAGGTCACCATAAATGACAGTCAGGCTGATCAAATACACATAGAGGAAATATACAGTGAGTTTCAAGTAACTTTTTTTTATCATGTTTTGTGATCATTCGTAAACGTGATTTGACGCGTATTTTGCAGATATCCAGAAGCATATACCATGTAAAAAGCTCCACAGGTAAGGTCACTGTAAGCTTCTAGTTTTGCAATACTTAATATGAAAGGCCTACAGCAATGTTACTTATTTAAAAATATCTAAGTTTCTACACCAGTACAGGAGAAGTTGATCTTGATGCTCTGAAAAAGCTTTTGGGGGATTGTAAGCATGTAAGACCAGATGTTTTAGATAAAAATGTATTATTACTAACATCACCAATGAATTTACCTTTCTTTCTATTTTTAAAGGAAAGTATAATCGGATGGTACAAGCAAAGAAGGAACACCGACCAGCAAATGACATTGAGAGAAAAGACTATTCACAAGAACCTTAAGAATACTTTGTCCAATCCTCATATGATATTTTTGCTGCTAACACCAAGTTACTCTACCTTATCAGGATCCACTCACAAAACAGAATATGCTGCATACATTTTGCGCTGCAGGTATCTTTCCCTCAAAGATGAAGTTAATTTTAGTGTTTTATTAATTATAATGCTATTAGTCATAATGTTAATGTTTATGTATTATTTCAGACAGGCGATTAATGTTCCAGTGCTGGTAAATAACTTGGGCTTGCTTGAGCCAGTATCATATTGCAAGGTACCTGCTCTGTGCTCTGCAGTGGGTTTCAGTCTAACCATGCAAAAACACAGGTATGTTCCTATGGACTCTATTTGAGGTTGATTTCACGTGTTACTGGCTATGTTTACATGCACACATAAATCTGATTACTATCTGATTTCTGGACCTTAAAGATGATTTAAATGACATGCAAACTGAAAAATCTGATTACATATAATTTTAATAATCTTACAACTCCAAAAATATAATCTGATAATAAGTTAGAATGTACATCACAGCAACTGTTTTGGCTTACTCCAGGTCAAAGTTCTTTTCCTCCAAAGGACTTTTAAATGAAGTGGAGGAGATTAACAGTGTGAATGATTCTCTACAGTCAGAGTTATATGTAAGCATAAAATCAGTTTATTTTTTGTGTTACTTTTGTATTTTACATATCTTAATTGCTTGACAGAACATGTGCCAAGATGTCGAGAGCACTGAGAAGCAGCTTGAAGCGCTACAGGCTGAGGTTTCAGCTCTTCGAAGTAAAGTTATTGAAGAAAAACAATACAGGCTACAAAATGGTATTTTTGTTTTTCTACTTTTAACCTGTTACTATCCACATAACAAAATATCCTATGCCATTTGTACAGATAGGACAGGCTGTTTAAGTTTGCCTTTTATTTTTACCATTTTATCAGAACACAATGATCCTCCTCTTGAGCCAAAGAACTTGTTGCTCCAGAACACAGTCCGAGCTCTGTTTGCCTGCTCCCCCTTGTTCCAGTCGCAGACTTTAACCACCTCCGCTTTTCCAATACTTGACTGCTGCTGTAATCTTCAAACTGACAAGGAAACTCTTGCAGATCAATCAGACCGGCCATCAGAAGAAGATATGGTGTGTCAAAGAAAATGGGTTTCCCGGAAACGACCCACAGAATTATCACTGCGGGCCAATGACCATAAACGTAGAAAGATCTAAATACTCAATAAAATAAGTAAAAGAAAAAGTTTGAAGAATTTTATTGTATACAAAAAAAAAATCTAAATGAACTATCCCAAGTGTTTGGTGCTGCAGATGTTGGGGTCTCGCATAAACTGTGGATGCTTGTGTGTTACTGGCATGAAACCTATGAAAAAAGAGAAGTCATTATAGTGAAAGTTTTATGAAGAATTCAAATATAATAATATACACACCCATAGACTGAGCTTTCTTGATGGCTTTTGAGATTTCTTTTTGTTTTTTTCCACACAAGCCTGTTAAAGGTTAAAAAAATAAAGATTTTTAATGAAACAACACAACATAAGCATCTCTCAAAATCTACTGATTGCTGCCTACCTGTTAAGTGTCGACCATAAATTCTCCCTGTGTGAGGTGAAATAAACTGGGAGAGTAGCTGAAAAACAATAACTGTGTGTATATCATTACATATTTAATGCACACATTAAACAGTAACGCCCTCTGCTCACCTGTATGTTTTTGTAGTCAATATTTACATTGCAAAGGACGCATCCCTTTTGTGGCTCTTTGTAGGGGTTCTCCATTTGCACAAGCTTGGAATATAGAAACACCATGAGAAATAATTGTACATTTGAGCGAAGGGTACACAAGTAGAAAGCTTACCATATCCTTTCGCTGGATCACACTAGAAGATGTAGACATGCACTTCAAACCTGTAATACATAATGACACGAGTAGACAACATAAGCGATCACCAAACTTTGTGAACACTATTTCACACCACATGATTGTGACCGTTGCAATTTATTTTTTAAAACCTACTTGAATTCTGAAGTATTTTTAAAAGAGGATTTATGCCCCCGAAACGTTTGATAGCAAGCATATCGACCCCTCTGACAGAGGACAGGAAGCGGTCCCTTGTCTTGTTTTGTCCGATCCGCGATTTGTGTTGCCTCAATGTAATTGATTGTTCCGCATTGTGCTTTGTAGCTACTACAACATAGAGTTGCACAATGTATTCTGCATGCAAAATCGTGAAAAAATACCCAAACCCTTATATTTAGAGATTTACGTTGAAAAAATAATTCTCAGCGATGTGTTTCTCGGGGGTAGGAACCATGGTAGGAACTGTGCATGCACCTTCACCAAAGAGTATGAATGCATCTCAAGATAAGTTTAAGATTGGTGTTATTAAAAATAAATAATCCCCTTTGAGTATTCATAGCCTATTCATGCATTTTTTCCCTTTTCTTTCATAGACAAGAATGAAAATGTATCCTAGATCAATTCTCGAAATAAACAAAATCATCATCAACATTGATATGGCGCAATTACCAATTTAAACGTCAGGTTGTTTGTAAATTAAGTGTAGTAGGGTGAATTAATACTTTTCTGTGTATACTTCAATACCTTGTGGTATTAACTACAAACATATTTTACGTTAAATCAAATGATTAAACAAAACCGGAAATAGATGCCCCAATTTCTCTTGATAAACAACGGTCGACTTTTCAAAATGGAATCTCGTGTGTTTTGTTTTGTTGCATGATTTTGCTAACTTGCATCGTTTAAGAATTTGGTTGTTTTTGAGAAATATGGGGGATGTGTTTTTGTAACGTTACTTGTTTTGCTTGTTAACTGCATTTTCTTCTTATTTGAAAAAAAGACTTACTAAAAACTACTTAAACCAGGCCCTCGTCTACATACTCATAAGAAAACCAACTGTAACGAGGATTAGCTTTAAAAAGTTATTCAGCTATTTTTTTGGCCCAAAATCGGTTTACAAGAAAGCGTTTCAGTAGAGCCACGGGCATGCAACAATGGATGTCAAACAGAATATCAGAATAAAAAGACTGTCTTCAGGGAAGAGATCCAGAGAAAGGATTAAAACGTTTTTGACACCTGCCAAAAAGAGGGGAAGTAATTCTTCTAACGGTGCACTCGTGACAGATACTCAACCTGCAGAGGTAGGCTTTGTTTTCTTTTTCTATTATCACTGTAATAATCAAAAATGTTAAACCTATCGAATTAATTTCTTGTAACAGTACTGCAGTGATAATGAGGACTTATTTGGAGGATATGATAGTATTCTGGAGGACAGCTCTATCCTGGCAAAGTTGGATTCCCTAGAAGCACAAACGGTGCAACATGATGACTGCAGCTTATCTGAAAACAAACCTGAAGATCACCAACATGCTGGCTTTACTGCTCTTAGATCTTCAGGGACTACATCTGTAAACCAAGCACGCAAAGCTTCTCTCACAGACTCAATTTTAAATTATCTAGAAGAGGAACCTTTTACAGACTTGCCAGCCTCGCAGCTTGCATTTCAAGAAATATTTAAGAACACCAAAGGGCAAAATGTAAATACAACTGTTGATAAAACATCTACTCCTCTTAAGGACTTTCCCAGAAGGACAGAAAGTGACATTAAACAAGCTGAGACTGTGAATAAAGACAACGGACAAGCACATAAACCCAATGTGAGGAAAAGCATGAGTGACCATCTCAAAAGGACTATGCTCTTAAATGCTGCAGCTCCTACCAGTGTTTCACGCAGTGTGGAACAGAAAGAGGCAGTCGTTTCTGATGAGATCAATGTTGCTCTACAAGCCATGCAGACTGTATCCTCACAGACCACTGATTTAGGACCTTTCTTTGGGCTACCCACTAAAGTCAAAGATCTTTTACACAAACTTAAAGGAATTAGGAGTCTTTATGGTAATGTTCTTGTTTAGTGACCTTTTTTTTTTTTTTTTTTTTTAAATTACTTTGTCAGAAACATTCACTTTTTGTTTCATCAGATTGGCAGGAAATATGTCTAAACCTGGATTGTGTTCAGCAAAGGAAGAATCTAATCTATTCCTTGCCTACCAGTGGTGGAAAACACTAGTTGCAGAGATCTTGATTCTCAAAGAACTGCTTTGTCGAAAGAAAGACTGCCTGTTCATATTGCCATATGTCTCACTAGTGCAAGAGAAGGTATGGCAGTTAGAAATGACAGAAATTATAATTTTTCTATATGTCCATTAAACCGTTTCTGGATTTCACTTAGGTGCGTGGACTCGCCAGCTTTGGAATAGAACTAAACTTCATGGTAGAGGAATATGCTGGTAGCAAGGGCAAGTTTCCACCAGTGAAGAGAAGAACAAGCAAGTCTTTATTTATAGCCACTATTGAAAAGGCTCATAGCCTGGTCAACTCTTTGATAGAGACCAGTAGGTTAGACAACCTTGGGCTGGTTGTTGTAGATGAGGTAATCACACATTCCATTTTGAGTAAAAATATTCACCAGATTTTCCAGTCTGTTAATTGTCATCTTTCAAGTACAGCTTCATATGTTAGGTGATGGTGCTAGAGGAGCAATTATTGAAATGACACTAGCCAAGCTTCTCTACATGAGTAGTAAGTTGTGACTTTCCAGTATCATGATGCTGTGTTAGCTTTTTCTTATTGTAAGTATTGTTCATTTTTAGAAACAACTCATATTATTGGGATGAGTGCCACTCTGGGAAACATTAAAGAAATCCAGACATTTCTAAATGCAGAAAATTATACTAATGACTTCAGACCTGTGCGTGAGTGATTATTACAATTTTCAGGTTGTAGTTTTGTGTTTAATCAACATGTGTGTTTAGGTTCAGCTTAAGGAGTATGTCAAACTTAAAGACACAATTTATGAAGTGAACCCTAAAGAGGAGGAATGTTTCAAGCTCTATCGTCCTCTCAGTTATAAGGTAAAACATTTAGTTGCAGTTTTTATTAAGATATAAATTATAGTAGTAATATGAACAATATTTAAATATGAGGAGATTTTTTTCTTTTGCAGTATTCCAGTGGGATGCAGAAAATTGACCCAGATCATATCATCGCCTTGGTTACGGAGGTCATTCCTACACATTCCTGCCTTGTTTTTTGTCCCACCAAAAAGAACTGTGAAAATGTAGCATCAATGATTTGCAGATATTTGAAAGAGTAAGTCAAATACCTGATGTGTGTATTTTTCAGGGTTTGTCTTTTACTCATTTAGTCTTGTTCAGGGATTTTGTAAGACATAGAGAGGCAGAGAAATCAACACTTCTTCAAGAGCTGCAAGATAGCGGAAATGGGAATATGTGTCCTTTGCTCAGAAGGACTGTTCCTTTTGGGATCGCCTACCACCACAGCGGCCTTACAACTGAAGAAAGAAAACTAGTCGAGGAGGCCTATACCAGTGGTGTCCTCTGCCTCCTAACTTGTACATCCACACTGGCGGCTGGAGTCAACCTTCCAGCTCGCAGGTGAGTGGTCAAGAGAATTTCCCAATAAGCATTATGTTGACCACGTTAACCACTCCTTTGATCTGGTTTTCGCATATTACTCATTACTGTGTGAAAAGTGTTTTTCACTTCTACTCATGTATTGTGATTAATTTAAGTGTTTTCATTTAGTTTTGACTGTCTATTTACATTAGCTGTAAATAATTATGTTTTGCCACAGAGTTATTCTGCGCTCACCATTTGTTGCCACTGAATTTCTAAAGAGAAGCCAGTATAAGCAGATGGTGGGTAGAGCTGGTAGAGCGGGGATTGACACAAAGGGCGAGAGCATCCTTATTCTCCAGGAGAAAGAGAAGAACATGGTACTTTTACATACTGTGACATTATTACAATCAGGTAGCTGTTGTTACAATAAAGTATTTGTTTTTCAGGCCAAGTCACTTCTCTGTGCCCCAGTCGAGAACTGTTACAGTAACCTAATGTATGATGGCGGAAAAGGAATTTTGAGTCTCATCCTGTCACTCATTGGATTAAATGTAACTTGTTTATTTAACTCAGTGAAATGTGTTGTTATGTTATCTAAAGATCTCACTAATGCTATAGATCACCACATCATTGGAGCAGTTGAAGGACTTTCTGTCTGGCACACTTCTGTCTGTTCAAGAGAAGCAGCTGTGTGTAAAGAAGTCTCTGTGGGACTCTGCATTGGAGTGTGTTGGAGTGCTCAAAGAGAAGGGGCTCATCACTGTCAAAGGTGAAGCTCAAGACATAACGCTGCAAGTCACTCGTCTGGGAAAAGCCACTTACAAAGGTATATTTAAAAATTCAGTTCATCATTTTGATATTTTTATACCAAATATAATGTGTTACCCAATCACTCAGGCTCAGTGGATCTGACCTACAGTGGCATGCTGTACAGCGACCTCTCTAAAGGTCTGGAGGGGCTACTGCTCAACAGTTACCTCCACTTGGTGTATCTGGTCACACCTTATGATTTGATTTCTCAGTGTAAGCCTGAGTGGATGATTTATCTCAGACAGGTAGAGCATCATTATCCCAATGGAATCCCCTTTAATATGGTATTAATGTGTTATTGGTACTTATTGAAGTGTCGTTGTGTTGTAGTTTACCATGTTATCTGCATCAGAGCAGAAAATGTCTGCAGCAGTTGGTGTCCCAGAGAGTTTTGTTGCCCGAAAAGCTGCAGGTCAAACCATCAAAAAGGTAATGAAATAATTGCAGCATAAATAGTAATAAACAGATACTTTGATCATGGAACCTGAGTGCCCCTGTCTTTGACTTTAGAATACTGACATGCTGGTAGTGACCAGAATGTACCTTGCAATGGTGCTTTTCTCCTTACTCAAGGAATCAAACCTGTGGAGTGTGGCTGAAAAATTTCAACTAAGTCGAGGTTTTATCCAAACACTGCTGAGTTCAGCATCTGCTTTTTGTTCCTGTGCTCTGCATTTTACGGAGGTATTCAAATTGAAACAATAAAAGGGACACTGCTTTAGTTTGTCATTTCTGTTACTAAATTTACACACCTGTTTGTCTGTTAGGAACTTGAGGAGTTTTGGCCATATAAAGCTCTATTGTCGGAGCTGATGCGTCGATTGAGCTATTGTGTTCAAGCTGAGCTCATCCCTCTGATGGAAGTGGCAGGTGTCATGGAGGTATGTTAGAAGTTGAACCACATTAAATTAAACAACAATCGTAGCACTTACATTTTTATCCTAATTTAGTCCAGAGCAAAGCAACTTTATAATGCTGGTTATAAGACACTGTCTCACCTTGCCAATGCGGACCCCACTGTTTTATCAAAGACAATTGAAAACCTTTATAAGAAGCAAGCCAGTCAGATAGTAGCCTCTGCCAAAGTGAGTGCATTCACCTCTACTCAAATGATCACTATTACTAGAGAAGTTTATTAACAATGTTACTGATTGTGCTTTTGTCTATTAGATGACACATCTCTCTTTTTCAGATGCTTCTTAATGAAAAAGCATCAGCCTTGCAGGAAGAGGTAGATGACTTGCTTATGATGCCCATAGACCTACCTTCATACACCACAGCGGAGTTAACTTGAGAACGCAGTTATAAATGTAAACTGGTCACATTATTTATTTTTTAATACATTATCATACATTTGTATCATATTAAAATAATGTCTGTCCTCTGTTTTATAAATTGTTGTCTGGAATTCTTCTAAATGGTAGGTGTCTGCATATTGAAATGCAGTATAGTGCAGTAAGTTAGTGTAGGTCTTCTTGAGCATGTCCTGTCACTGTCCAAGGCCCCAGTGCTGTTTGGAGCTAAGGCTGACATCCCTGTGGAACTACAAAGGAAGAAGCGCAGAGGATGTTGAGCTGGAGTGAAATTGAAACAGGGGAAAAGGAAATTCAAGCCTGCTTTTCCGTTGGTCCTGATGGGGGAAAGTATGGTCACTGAGAAATATGATGGACGAATTGTGTGCTCTTGTTTGGACCCAGAGGGAGTACACTGTCAACAGTATCATGTGCTTCACGGAGACCTGGTTTCATATGAACTTCCCGGACAACAGTGCATCTGTACCAGGCGTTAAGACTGTGCGTGCGGACAGACACTCTCCTTAGAGGTAAGAAGGGCGGCAGGATTGCTGTTTCTGTGAAAGAGGTGGCCATATTACTGCGAAGGAGTGTATCTGTTCACCGGACATTGGCTTTGGGAATGTGTCCATATTATTTGCCAAGGGAATTTACTTCTGTCCTGTTCATTGGAGTTTATATCTCTCCCTCAGCGGATGAAGATGCTGCCTGTGACAGGATACACACTGTGGTTGCTGGGCTGCTGTCAAAACACCCAGAAGCTCTACTGATTTCTGGTGACTTCAGCCATGCTTTCTTGAATGGTGATTTACCCACACTTCACTAGTATGTGGACTGTAGGTCTCGGGACAATAGAACTCTGGCCCTGCTGTTTTCCAACTCTAAAGCATACTGTGCCACTGCCCTGCCCCCACTGGGATGATCAGACCACAATCTTGGCCTCTTAAAGTCTCACTATGTCCCTGCGGTGAAGATGCAGCCTGTCACCACTAGGACTGTAAGGAAATGGAGTCAGGAAGCCAACCACTTCAGGACTGCTTTGAGACCACAGTCAGGGATGAGCTCTGCCAGCCGCATGGGGATAGCATCGACAGCATGATGGACTGTGTAACAAAGTAAATCAACTTCTGTGAGGGTAGAGTCCTGTCTCTGTTGCTGTTCACTCTGTACACCCCTGATTTCCAGTACAGCTCCTGCCACCTGCAGAAGTTCTCTGATGACTCTGCAGTGGTTGGATGTATGTGTATCAGAGGTGGACAGGAGTTGGAGTACAGGACATGATTGCAAACTTTATGGTGTCCCAGGCAAACCATCTGCTCCTGAATGTTGACAAGACCAAGGAACTGGTGATAGACTTAAGGAGAAAGAAGACACCAATGGAGCCCATCACCATCCAGGGCCATGTGGTGGAAATAGTGGACTGCTACAAGTACCTTAATGTCCAGGTGAATGACAGACTGGACTAGAGGAACAACTGTAATGCTGTGTACAAGAAGGGCATGAGTAGACTCTACTTCCTAAGAAAATTCAGGTCTTTCAATGTATGCAGCAAGTTATTGGAGATCTTCTACCAGTCTGTGGTAGCCAGCGCCCTGTACTTCGCTGTGGTGTGCTGGGGGAGCAGCACCAGTAAAAGGGACA